GCACAGAATCCCAAGAAAGCTGAGAAATGTTTAAATGTTACAAGGAATGAAAGTCAGGAAACATTAATCTAAGACATAATTACCTAACCTAAAAACAGTAGATTTCAAAATACCTTATTTTGTATTTGACATAACATCTAACTCTCCTCAATACTTTCAACCTTTTAATTTTTATATAATTCTAAACTACAAATCATTCAATGGACTTTCAAGTCTCTTTCTATCATTTATATAGTATATAAAATTGTCTCTTTGAGGCAAAATCTTAGGCTTTTAAGTAGAACTTTTTTAACTGTCTCATTCACTCAACAAGTATTATTTATTGAGTTGCTCTACCAGAAACTAGGTCAAGTTATGAAAACACATAGTTCCTGTCCCCAAGGAGTTTTTAAAATCCTCAGCGTTCAATCTTTTCATAGCTTTTCAAACATTTACCATATCATAGCAGAAAGAATAAAGGCTTTAGACGCAGACAGAGCAAGGTTTGAGTCCTAGCTTGATTAAGGGGCAAAGGGAAGCAAGTTACTCATGCCGTCCGAGCACTGTTCCCCGCCTCTGTAAAACGAGGGTACCACCTACCCTGAAGAGTCGTGGTGAGTAGAATTAAAGTGACTAGTGTGACACTTGACCTAGACAGAAGCTATTATATTATGTTTCTCTAAGAAACCACTGCAAAAACCCAGGCCATTTATACTAATAGATTATAATACCAGAATATCTTGCCCTGGCCAGTGTAGCTCCGTGGTTAGAGCATCTGACCACACACCAAAGGGTTGAGGGTTCATCCCCTTCCCGGTAGGGCCCAGACACATAGATGGTTTTCTTTCCTCTCTCTCCCCTCCCTCTCCCCCCTCCCTTTCACTCTCTCTGAAAATCAATGGAAAAAAATATCCTCAGGTGAAGATTAAAAAAATAATAACAAAATATCTTATTTTTCATGCTATCCGAGTTATATTATATGCAAATAGGCATGGAAGAAGTGTAAAAATTCAATCCGATGCTACACACTTTATATCCTTATAAATATCCAAAGTATTTCTTTTTTTTCCTTTTTTTTTTTTTGTTAATCCTCACTGGAGGATCTTTTTCCCATTGATTTTTAGTGAGTGGAAGGGAGGGAAAGAGAGAGAGACAGAGAAACATCCATGTGAGAGAGACACAATGACTGGATGCCTCCCGCACACACCCTGACCAGGCCCGGGATGAATCCATAACCAAGGTTTAGGCCTCTTGTCTGAGAATTGAACCTGTGACCCTTCAGTGCATAGGTGGATGTTCTAACCACTGAGCAACACCAGCCAGGGCTCCAATGTATTTCTAATTAATAATGAAAAAAGTCAAAATCCATTCTGAAGAAATAACATTAAATAAGTTATACGCCCAACATGTTAAAGATCTTCCTAAATAAGTGTTTCTTCAAGCATACATGGTCTAGTAACTGTTCAGGGCTTCCACAGACCCAACTTACATCAATCATGGAACTACTTCTTCAGGCTGGAGCTCCTAGTCATTAAGCTCAGAGGCTCAGCGGCCACCCTAAAGTTCCAAGAACTGACACTTCCCCTTTCTGACCAGAACCAGCATGTATGAAAGCTTTTAGAGCAGCAGTTGCTGATTTGTTAAAGATACCTAAGAAAATACCAAATCATCTTTTGAACCAAGCATAACCCTCCCACTGAAGTTTCCTGTAATAAAAAAAATTTAATGCTCTTAAAGAATTAACATGCCTTCCAAAGTACCAAAATTAGAATTCAAATTTTGGGATAAGAAGGGATCTTAAGCTCCCTGCTTCCCATCCTACCTCCAGCAACTTAACAAAGAGAAAACTGAGGCAAAGGGAGTGGCTACCCAATGGCAGAGACTGGAGTAGATAGAATTCAAGGTATCTGACTTCCAATCCAGTGTCCTGCTCACCAGAGCAAGCTTCCAATTCAATTAAAATAAGAGAATGACTGATGTATACACAGCTAAGACAAAAGAGCTGAAATATGTTTCAGTTATTACTTAGTGCATGGTCAATAAATAAACTTTTAACCAATGTAAAGAAAATCATGGAAACGTTCTTTTAAAAACTAAATAAGCATTACTTGCTTTTCTGAATTTGAGGCACATTAAAAATCGCCGTGACTGTTTCTAAGTCAATTTTTTTTAAAAAGCTTCTAAAACAAAGCAAGCAAGCAAATCAACAAACTCAGAGTTGAGAGAACTGATGATTTATCTGCCACCTAATGCAGGAATCCTTTCTAGAACATTCTGACATTTGACCAACCAGCCCTGTTTGAATGTTCTCAGAGATAAGGAGCATTTTCAAAGGAGTGTAGGTCATCCCCAGTATTACACAGCTTAGTTACAAAGGTGTTCCAGATGAGCCCAAATGAGCTTCACCGTAGTCCCACCAGAACCAGCTCTGCTCTCTGGAACAATACTGAATCAGTCTAGCATCTTCCTTTGCATTTCATGTTCAGCTTTTCATACCTTTAAAAGTAGCAATCAGTTTAGCAGTCCCCTTTTCTCTTCTTAATAAATATACCTAGAACACGTAAAAGTACTTGGAACTAGCTCATACAAACCATATTCTGCGCCAATCAGTTCAACAGAGGTTCATCAAGCCTCAGGTGTTGCGCGAGGTTCGGGGAGTACAAAGAGAAATGAGACATAATCCTTGCCCTGGAGGAGCTTACAATACAGTGGGGGAGAAAAGCATATACAGAGGTATCTTTAATAACAGCAAGTGCCAAAATAGAGTCATGTTCAATAACGGTTACATACAAGACTAGAGAGCAAGGAAGGGATCAGGGTGAAGGATCTAGAGAATATAACAGCAGGCATTGTGCCAGGGTCACAAATTTGGATCCAAATTCCTGGATTGAAAATTCTACATAAAATGCTAAACAGTAGCTCAACCTAATCTATACAAAATGTGGTGGTGCTTAGTAGTCACATGGAGAAGATAATGACGGACTGAAAATAACAAAATACACATTCATATTAGAGACAAGTGCACGGTTAAGCAATACATATTTGCTAAAATAAATTATTCCAAAGAAGATTTTAAAGTCAATGGCATTATATAGATTCCTTAAAGAAGAAACTAGTTTTACTGAATTCTACTCTGAAGAGTGAAGTAGTGTTCGTTAGAAGTAAATTATTTTGTATGGCATCCGCGAAAGCATTCCTCATTCAGTAACATTCGTTTCCATGAATGTTGAAAGAATTAAAACATGAATGTTCGGGATTGCCAAAACAATGGCAACTACAATTTATTGTTGGAATGTTAATTTTTTTAAAGTCATGGAGAAGTATTTTATTTGTGAGGCAATGGAGAGTCACTGCCTGATCCAGAAAGTCACAAAAATAAGCCACAAATACAAAATTAGGTTGGAAAGGGCAGTTTCTCCAACATATCCAAATGCTTGTCTTCACAGGCTCAGCCATTCCCTCCAAGAGAATCCTGGAACTCCATTGGGTCAAGACTCCTTTTGAATGGGTGGGGAAACTAAGGTTTGGAGTGAGAAAATAATTTGCCTCAAGATATGACTTAAAGTTAGTCACAAAGGATAAGCTAGAAGCAAGGTTCCTGATCACATAGAGCTGAGATGAAATATTTGGCTCTAAAGACCCAGATTCAAATTTTAGCTCTATAACTTAGCTATGTGGATCATGAGCAAGTTCTTCAATGCCACGAGCTCTTAATTACCACATCAATAAAATGGGAATAACAACAGTGTTTGGGGAAGATAAGATAACCTGGGTAATTTGCTTAGCTCTCACTAAATGTTAGCCATGGGAATGTTAATTTTTTCCTTAACCAAGAAACCCATTAAAAATAGACTTCGGTTGAACAAAACTTAAAGTGAAATAGTTCAGATCTCTAGTATCAGAGTTGGACTTTATTAAAGCTGTCATCTTTAAATTATTTTGAACTGTTACATATAAGAAGTAAGATTAAAATTCCCTCTGACCATACAATCTTGTGTAAGATCCAAAGTGCATGTCAACCTTCTCTGTGTATATTCCTTTAAACCAGCGATTTTCAACCTTTTTCATCTCATGGCACACATAAACTAATTACTAAAATTCTGAAGCACACCAAAAATTATATTTTTTGACAATCTGACAAAAATAATAGGTGTAATTTGGATTCATTCACACCAGGTGGCCAGTGTTGTGCTAGCTGTTGTCATTTTTTTCATTTAACAGTCTAAGGGAAAAGAGGCCAGTGTCTCTGACTAAACAGTCAGGTATTGCATGTTTTAAAAAGTCTTGCAGCACACTGGTGTGCCATGGCACACAGTTTGAAAATCACTGCTTTAAACTAATAGAATTTATTTAGCACTCTTGTCAATGCTAAACGCATGTTCAGCACTATGTAACTTCTTTACAACATATACAAACATAATTCCCACATTTGGGGTTTAAATGTGTAGTTGTCTATAATTAACACTAATTTTTGGTTCTCGATATTGGGATTTTTTAATGGGAACAAGATAACAGATAAATGTGACAATGTTTGTCTCAGGTTTATTTTTAAACCACTTTGTCATTTTTAATTTCTCTGCTACAAGAGGACATTGCTTGTCTACACCTGATTGTTCACAGCTCATAGGATACCATTCCCACTAAAGCAGTACCCACCAATGGGGGTGGTTAGGACAAAAGTAGAGGGGAAGTATTTTAGCATCACCTGGAGAGTTTCTCTATACAGTACCTCAGTAGTATCACAAGTACAGAAAGCAAATGCTTTAGTGGTGTGTTGCAGACCTAATAGCAAGACTGTAATCAAGGGTTAACCTGGAACTTATTTAGAAACTACTGTCCAGAAGGGCTGCTAAAAAAAATTTACAAAAAAAAAAGATTGAGGACAACACACATAGTTTTTGAAGCTACCTGTGTCTACAGTGGCTCATGTTCCCAGCTAGACCTGTGGTAAGGCAAGAAACCAAAAGAGGAAATAATTTCCATCACACCTATGCATAAGCAGTGCACTTGCAGTTGCTTACCTCCAATATTCTGAATTACTATGGTGCCTGCCACCAGCACCTATGAAAGAACAAATGTACTTAGAAGATGAAAGGGGAAATAATATAAAAGGATCGGTATTTTATTAAAATCCAATAACTATTACTAAAAAACAGATGCAGAAATCCAGAGAAGAAAAATTGGAAAGAATAAATTTTGCCAGGCATTTGTAATACATAAAACTAATAATCATAACATAAAAAGCCTTTCTTTAATAGTTCCATGGTTACTATAAAGAATACTTTTGAAAATTTTCTTGGCAGTCATTTTTAAACAGTTAAAAGTGTTAAAAAGCTAGTAATCAGTGGTTATCAAAATACCAAAAAGTTGAAATTGAATCTGTCTGGTCTCATTCTCTCATTTTTACTGGTTTACCACATTGCTCCAGTAGGTAGACCGAGACAGCGTGAGGTGTGCTGTGCCAATGCCGTACTTCATAAAAGGAAATGATAGTCTTCTGAGTGTATCAGCTTGGCATACATCAAGGCTTCAACATCCCTGTCCCAGGGAATAATAATCTAGAGCAGAATACATGAGAGCCCACATATTCTCAAATCTGAAAATTTAACAAAGTTCCAAACTCAATATTATGCAATGGGCTGTAAGTGTAAGACAATATGAGGTTGTAAAGACTGCAGAATAGAATTGGTGAACTCCTCCCTTTCAAAATGGGGCAGCTGCTGCTCAGCTCTGATCAGCTGCTGGCATATGAGCACGTGGATCCAATGCAGCCAGATCTTCTGATTTTTGAAACAAAGTCAGAAATTGAATTCTTTCAGAATTTCATAATTCTTAGTTGGCAATCAGTTAAAAATAAAAAGGGTTTGAACCAGACAAAATATGCTTGAGGACTAAGTTCAGCCTGCAGGCTGCTAGCTTGTGATCTTTGATGAGATTCCTGGGAAACTCAAAGACAGCACTCGATCCATTCTTGGTAATCACATGTACTAGGAGGAAATAAACATTCTGCTCCCACTTGGGTCTTTCTATCACTCAAATTTTGGTGGATCTGCACCCCCAATGTATGTTTGGAGCTGACGAGCTACCTAGGATCAGGCAGTCCTACATGGATTGGGAACAGATCACCCTCAGACCCACCTGTACTAGGAATTCCATTACTGGCACCGCATTTGCCTATTCCGGGAACAATCTAAGTTTCTGAGACCTAGAGGCCTTGGAGTCTGCAGAGCAAGACTAATGACAGAAAAATTTAGAGAGAAGTCTTTGAAGTGTGGTAATTGCCACTCTAACATTTCCCAGGGGGGTAAAAAAACAACTCTGCATATCAACCCACTAAAAAATTAGTTCCCAAATTCAGTTATTTGTGAAAAGACTATTTTGAACTTTTGTACACTATCTTTTGTACGCAAGTGATGCTTATTATCAGCCAAACATGAAAATTGATTTTTCTACTATATTGTAAAAAGTAATAATATCAACTTATTGATGATTGTTTTCCATTTTTGTAGCTGAATTTAAGCATTTAAGATCTAGAAAGTCTGTCTGTCTATCTGTCTGTCTTCGGTGTCTACCACAGAACATGACATATGGTATTTGCTCAATAAATATTATGTGGTGAGTAAATAAATCAATTTATAGACAATTTTAAAAATCTTCCTTAAAAAGTTCAAAAAACATTTCAAAAATATTTCTTTAATTCTCAGAACAATGTTATCCTATCATATATCATATCCCTATCCATATCATATCTGGAAAGAAGGAAATAGATAGTTTCAACCCAATTGTGGAAATGAAGAGAAAAGACTTAAAAAGCAAACAACTCCTTATTTAGAGTACCCTCTGCCTGTGTACCTGCCTACTAAGTACCAGGTGCATACATTAAAATGATAATGCAACTATTCTAGAGTTTTACGAAAGACAACTCTCAACAATCCATGCTCCTCTTTTAGACCGTGCTGCTATATACAAGGAATTCAGGAAATATTCATGTGAGATAATAGTGATGACACTTACTGTCAAAAAAAAAAAAAAGACAAGGTCCAAACCAGGAGGCTACATAGTATAATTAAAATATTCCTTTTTGTACTTCAACAATGAAGTTAATTTAAATGCAAATACAGTTTTTTCCCTATTACCTAGCTATACCTTTTTCCTTCCAGACTTCTTAAAAATTAGTTCAGTCATCTACAAATACAGTATCCTTTGAGATTAGAAACAAAATAAACAAGCAAAAAACATAAACAACAGATTTACAAATAAAAAGAAAAAGGCCTGTTTGGAACCAACGTGAAAATAGGTTTTAGAAGTATGATAGCTCTTCAGAAACGAAAAAAAAAAAAGAAGGTTCTATGGCACTAACAATAATATTTACTTCCTGATTGCGTGTGGAAGGAGAAAGTGTTTCCCCTGCTTTTTAAATCAGTTTAGTATGGCTCTCACCAATGAATGCCCAACCAATTGCTGTTATGAGGAGGAAACACAGATTTGGACTATAGAGCCCTTTAAGTGACTGTGGACAAACAGGCCCCTCCATTTCTCTGGGTCTTAATTTCCTCACCCATAAATGAGGGGATGGCTAGGTAATCTTTCAGCACTCTTCAGCTCATAAATGATATGATCTTCTAATTATCAGTTTTGTAAACAGTCATGCTGTCATTTTAATTCTATGCTGCTTTATTCTCCTGTCTTTATGGGGATTTACTCAGAGAATATAATCAAAGTTAATAAGTAAAACTTAAAATAAATCATTGTTACTATTTTAAAATTATTCAAGTCATTGTTCTCCTTCATTAGGGTGAAAAATACTAAAAGATTTAAGTGCTGAATTAAATTTATTGATGCATTTTTAGGAAGGGCGTATAGGGAGATTTCTTCTCTTTCACTTCCTGTTCCCAACATTCTGCCTTCAGTCTAGTTTCCTCCTACTCCTCTGATTTCTTTTTCTGGTACCTACTTGTCTCTTTTAACTGGAAACAGAAGGAAAGTATGCCTCTCTGGATTCTGGACTAGCAAGGAGAGAAAAAAGTTACCTTTCCAGATAATCCAAATGCAAAGAGTCCAAGATCTTCATAAGATGTCACAGCTGTAAGAGAAATTGTAATTTTCATTTTTACACAAAACTGTTTGTGTGCCAAGTCTTAAAGGGAAGAAAGGTATTCCACTATGACCTTATAGCTATTGGCTGGTCACACTAAACTTAAAGCAGAAGTAACCACTTTGGGGAAAACTTTTTAAGACTTATGGTCTGTGAGGACACAGTTCTCTTAGACTAAGTGGAGCTTAGCAAATCCCAAGGTCGTCCAACAACCACCCAGGCTGCATTAATCCAAATGGAGTAATTACTCAACAACAACCGCACTTCTCACTGAAGAGTACTTGCCTACTCCACTGTCCAAATGTAAGTTTTTGTTGGCAAGTTTCTGAAAACTGCATATGTAAATTAAGTTAAGGTATGAAAGCTGTATCATACTTTCAGAAGTTACCTTTCCAGCTACCTAGGATAATGATACCACGTTCATGATAGAAGAAACACCCTCATCCCACAGCTAGTAGGTCATACATTTTCTTTTTCATCATAAAGGAGTATAAAATTATACTTCCATTTCATATGTTGAAGAAATGGGGTCACAGAAAAGATGAAAATTAAATGGTTCATAAAAGAACTAAATTTTTCTTTAACCCATATAGCTTCAAGCTCTAACTAGTGACACCACTGGTAAAAATAAGAGAAGTAAAAACATTTGTATAACCCTACAGTTTGAAAAGTGCTTAAGCTCATACTTCTTGCACTAAAAAAAAAGCACATTAGCAGGTGCTAAGGCTTGGTATAGCAACACACATCTATTGAGTCAAAGATATCGCTCATCATTTCTTAAAGCAAGTCTTCATTTATCCTCTCAAGATATACATGTGTTTTCTTTAAACTGCCACTAAATTAACAAAAAATTCCTCTATATTTTCATAAACAAAAATGTCCACGTATGTAAAAATAAGCATTTTAAAAACCATATATGGTCTTTACATGTGATAACTACATAGTCATAAAGAAAACAGTGAAGTGTTGAAAAAATACGTTTTAATAATGAAGAACAAAAATATTAACTTTTCTTGCCAAGCATATATTTAAAATTTTAACTTTATTATCAGAGTTGATCAAAGAATTTAGAAACTTTTTGGATGATACAGCTAATTACACACTACTAAACATAATGGACAAGGACAATTTAGTTTTGAATTTGGGATATATAAGTTGACTTTGAGTAAGAAACTTCATGCTTTAACAAAGAAAGACTTCAATAATATCTTACAGGGGTAGACTTTAAGTACTACACAGTTGGCCCTGAACAAATGCGAGGGTTAAGGGCACAAATGCGCAGGCAGTCAAAACTCTGTGTATAACATTTGACTCCCCAAAAACTAACTGCTAATAGCTTACTGTTCACCAGGAACCTTACTGGTAACAGAAAGTCCATTTTTTGTATATGTATTATATACTTTATTCTTACAATAAAGTAAGCTAGAGAAAAAATATTACTAAGAAAATCATAAGGAAGAATACATTTACAGTACTATACTGTATTTATCGATGTAAGTTCATGTCATCTGTTTTACAAGATGCATCACCTGTCAGTATCTACATCAATATTGTCTTATATGATGCAAAACACTATAGATGCTATAGATGCTATATATATTACTAACACTAGGCATCAAAAATGGAAAGATAATGTGAAAAAGAAATTCATATTTATTTACACATATAACGATCCATGCACTGATAATGAGGAAGCAGCAACGTGTATCTAGCGTAACTGATACAATTGTTTCACAGTAGTAAAAAATTCTCCAAATATTTTTCCAATATAGTAGCTGAAAAAAATCTGCATGTAAGTGGAGCCACAAGTTCAAAACTGTGTTGTTCAGGGGTCAACAGTATTTTAGAACATAAAATTTAAAAGCAGAATTACAAAACTAAGAACTGGAAATTTTTCCTCCTATGAAAAATGCTGACATTCTTTTTTTCTCAAATGCACATAATCTAACATGAATGCATCACAAAAATTAATAATTATTTTAATCAATAAATCTTTACTAGTTTAATATTCCTAAACACAATTGAGTGTTAATGTTATATAGGGGCACAATTCCTTATATTTAACATTCCAAAGCTTTAAACACACACACACATAATACATATATACATATATAAACATACACATATATACATATATATTTTTAAAAAGCAGAAAATTCACACATATACATATATACATATATAAACACATATACACATATACATATATATTTTTTAAAAGCAGAAAATTCACATATATACATATATACATATATACGTATATAAACACACACACATATATACTTTTTTTTTTTTTTAAAGCAGAAAATTCTCTAAATGTTAGCTTCTATCTAATCTGGCATGGGGAAGGTGATTCCGTTATATAATATGTGCATGTGAACCAAGTCTCCAGAAGGTCTCCTTTTGTTGTTGTTGTTTTTAACCCTTACCCGAGGACATTTTTCCGTTGCTTTTCAGAGAGAGTGGAAGGTGGGGAGAGAGAGAAACATCGATGTGAAAGAGGCACATTGATTGGCTGCCTCCTGCACATGCTCTCACCAGGGCCGGGGGATGGAGCCTGCAATGGAGGCACGTGCCCTTGGCCAGAATCGAACCCGGGACCCTTCGGTCCACAGGCCGACGCTCTAACCACTGAGCCACACTGGCCAGGGCTCCAGAAGGCCTCTGATCTGTCACTATAAGGCATGAGATTAAAGAAACATCATTGTTCATTTTTAACACCCTTTATTTTAGCCTCACCCAAGAATACGTTTATTGATTTTTTTTTAGAGAGAGGAAGGTGGGGGGAGAGGGAAAGGGGGAGAAAGAGAGAGAGAGATGCAAGAGAGAAGAGAGAGACGTCATCCGCCCTGACCTGGGAACTAACCCACCACCTTTTGGTGTACAGCCCGATGCTCCAACTAAGCCACCCAGCCAGGGCAACATTCCTCTTTCATATTATAGTTAAATATGTCTATTCTTTCAAAGAATAACTTTCCTTCCAAGAATTTAAAGCAAGGAGAATTTTCAGTGTTAATATCAAATAACTTGCTTTTATTTTTAAATTAAATTTATTTTTATTGAATTATAGTTGACATACAATAGTATATTAGTTTGATGTATACAACACAGTGATTTTCTATTTTTGTACGTTACTAAATTACTACGATACATCTAGTTACCATTTGCCACCATATAAAACTATTACAATATTGGTGTCAATATTTCCCACACTGTACATTATATTCCGGCGACTTATTTATTTTATAACTGAAGTTTATACCTCTATTCCCCTTCACCTGTTTCACCCACCATGCCATTTCCCTTCCCTTTGGCAACCACCCATTTGTTCTTTGTATCTATAAGTCTATTTCTGTTTTGTCCAAATAACTTGCTTTTAAAATAACCTATTTTCCATTAGTCTCTCGGTGAGCATGCTATAGAAATAATAATCATCAAAAAGTTTAACTAGGGTTTATTTTTAAACAACATAAACAAGTATAGATTATATATTTAATAAACATAAAAAGCAAATAACTTTCCCATAAGCAAAAATCATATTAAAAGGTTCTGAAAGGAACTGGTATTTCAGTTATCTAAATTTAAATAAATTAAACATTTATTCTTAATTTTTAAATTAGAACACAACTTTTATTATTCCAGAAAATATAATCAAACCAACAGCATACTGAAGATACCTATAATTGCGACTTCTGACAATAGTGGCACACATTTTAGCAATCTCAAATTGCTCTCTATTATTTTCCAGTTTTATAAAAGTATCTCTAAATGCAGCACACTCTTAAATTTAGAGTGAAAAAGGCTTAGACTTTTAAGTGGAGACTGAGTACAATGTTCATATCCTAACTCTGTCTTTAAAGTAGCATGTCTGGCTAGTCATTCAGTCCAGTCACTGTCACCATACTTCTTTTATGTTGCAAAAATCAGAAGCACTTTTCCACATCTGAGACATCATGAATATGAATAATGGCTTCTGGCTTAACATTGAGACTGTACTAAAATATGTACACAGTTACTCAACTGCTTTTTCTCCACATATTCACTTTTTAATGATTTTCTGGATCAGCTCAACACATAAACCAAAACACCACCAGTGAAATACTTTTAAACTTCTGTCATTTGGGCAGTTGAGATGCTGGAAACAGTATAAACTGGTACTGACTTCTGGACTTCAATTTGAACAGTGAGCCTTTAAAATACTTATAACATTTGACCACTAGGAGCCTACATCTTAGGAAATAAAAACAAAAACCAGAGAACAAAACAAAATAAAAACAAAAATCATTACATATATGCAAAAATACTCACCATTCATTATTTACATTGAAAATAAAAAACTACTTAAGTACTCAACAATGGTAAGGTAATTAAGTAAATTATGATTGGTATACCTGATGAAATAATATGTAGCCATTAAAAACTATGTTTATAATAACAAAAAATGTCAATATAAAGTAAAAAAATAGTATTCAAATATGACTTATAAAGCAAAACACAAAGAGTGGAATGAATTATAAACAAATAGTTGAGCAGTCTTCTTTTTTTCCTTTTTTGAGGGGGGGTAATTCAAATATTCTCTAATGACTATAATGGAGAGGTAAAACTTTACTTTTAAAAACCGTATCACTTGAATAGTTCTGTTTCCGCCACCAAATATCTGATAGGGTTTATTTAAGCTGCAGTTTTTAATTTCTCTGGTATTTAGTACTTTAAGTATCACTTCATCTACTAATAAGGGATATTTCTGCTGCTCTTTCATATGATCAGTATTTTAATATCTATAAAGTGAAAGATGTTTTGAGAGATATCGGAATAAGATGTGGTGATGACCAATTACGTTAATAGCATATTCCTACAGAATAGGAATAACATTAATTATGAAAATTATGAAACTAATTCAGTCTTTTACGGGAATTCACACAAGCAGTACTTGGCATGATTCTCCTTAAATAAATAACTGAAAACAGTCATGGCGATCTATTTTTGGA